ACATATAGATCTTTAGGCTTTCAGAAATTTGTGAATGTCGTGGTTTGCTTTTTGTTAAAGATGAAATAACCTTTTTTTAAAGCAGCGAAAATGCATTGTCTTCACAATTTCTTATAATAATAATATTTATTAGTTACAATTGTAACCAAAGGGCTATCGACCTATTTCTTTACGCCCGTATATTTTCTTATTTTTCTCTAATTTATCTTTAGTTTTATCAATTGAATTACTGAAAATATTCAGTTTTCAAATGTGATTTTTAAATAACTTATTACAAGTTTGCATATTTTATAAAAGTTCAAACAATAGAAAATTATTCTAAACTTTAATAAACTCTTAATAACTTATTTAAAATTATCCTTTCTTTCATCAAGATTTTATTTATAAATTAAAATTTATATTTTTTTTAGGTAAAAATAAACATTTTATTAAATACACAACACACAACAAAATATGCAAGTTTTCAATACTTTTTATTTATTTTTTTTTTAATAATTATAGTTTCAGCAATAATTATTGAACGTATTTCAAAGGGCTATCGACTATAGGTATTGAACACTAATTAATGAAATAATTTGTAATGATGATGATAAATGGTACATTATTTTAATTATTTATAATTTGAGATTTGTTGCTATTGTTTTTGGTTATTTTGCGTTTTTCTGTAATTGCAAGGTTTAGCATGTAGTCAACATCATAAAACCTTATTGCGGGTAGCTGTAAGCCATAAATACTTTTATTGGTATTCCTTTTCTGTTGTATAGGATCGTGGAAAATAGATTTTCTTTGAAAATGGAAATAGAGTTAGAAAATATTATCGTGCTGATTATTTGCGAATGTATATTGACGTACCTTTCTATAATCAGTTTTTCTTGCAGCTGTTTGACCGTTCTTCCCTGAAAGCAGTATTATCAGTAGTCGCTCCTTTTTGGCGCGCTTTTTCAACATTTGTAAGACAGTATCATTTGCAAGGCGTTTTCAGTAACTGCAAGGATTAGCATGTAGTGAACATCATAAGACCTTATTGCTAATAGCCAATAAACACTTTTATTGCTATTGCTTTTTTGTTGTCTGGAAACCTGGAAAATGGATTTTCTTTGAAACTTTGTTTATTGTTATAAAAATAATAAGTTCACTTTGTGGATTTAGCAAGTAGTTTTAGTAATCTTAAATCATTTTAATGTTATCGTTTCTAATTAAGAAAGTTTTAACATTTTTTATGTGTTTTTTGTTTACAGAAAAAATACTAATTAAAAACATATTTTCAATGATTTTTTTTTTAATTTATGATTGTTTTTGTCAATATTTAGAAAGTATTAAGTATTAAATTGTTTGAAATTAAATATGAGAATTTTAGTTGCGGAAGTAATTAACTGTCTTATATTAATTCAACATGATTTTTAATGTTATATAATTTAGAGAGATTCTAATTAATAATAAAATGATGTTTTTTTATTTAGTTGAATTCAATCGAAAAAATGTATACGTTAAATTATTATTGATAAATAAGTAGTTTAAATATAATTAAATTATATTGGCAAAAAGTCTCCAATCGATAGCTTTGTTACATTAATGAATTGAATAGAAAATATATTTTTTTTTCTTTAAAATCAAATAGTGTTTTGCTTTGAAAATTATTTTGTACTTTGAAAAAGTTTCTATTAATGATGTGCGGCGTTATTGATGAAACTAAACTACGAAAATCCAGCGAATTTGTTGTAAAACGGGCACTATTCACGATCGCGCTTTTGTGTGCGATAGATATCCTAATCCAACGGTACACAAATTTTCACTGTCAACACTTGCAAACTTAAAAACTACGAGCGCTGAACGTACTCGGTACTGATTCGATAGTTGAATGCTCGAAGACGCGGAGATGTTTACCGGTACGAATACACAACTGTGTCTGACGATGATGCCAAAGGTACCCTTGATTTTTATACTAGTGTAGGTATAGCCCCCATCCCTGGCCCCCAATTAACCAATAGTCAGAATGCCATGAGTGCGAGCTAGAGCGGCGCCCATAGTTGGTGCCTTTTAGGGTGGGTACCCTTCAGAGCCATCTCTCTCTTCGCTATTATTAATTCTCGCTTCCTGTCTTTTTTTCTCTTTCGCTAGAACCATTTCATTTTCAACGTCCCACCCTACCCATTCTGGTA